ACCCAGTACAGTACATAGTTGCACATATAAAGTCAAATAGCGCTCCGCCCCCAGTGGGCGAGGCTTCCCATGCCTCGCAATTGTCTAATTTTGTGTCACTTTGGAAACAACGGGTGCACCGGTGTTGGGAGGAGGGCTCATGGAGAGAATCCTAACTAGGAGGTTGGTCGGCGTCGAAAATACCAGACCCAGTGCCTCCGCAAAGAGTCCCACTCGGAGCAATACTTTTTATTGCTAGCGTATTTCATGCTCACATGGCACACGTCCAAACCACGCCCACCTGTGGGCGGGGCGCTGCACATCCTGAAACGAGTAATACATTTGTTGGTCACAAAAGTATCCCCACTTGTGGATGCAGCTTCCACATGGGAAGCCCGTCCAGTGATTCCTCTTCTATCAACGTGATCATCGGTGTATTTTGAAAAAAATCTCTGCCACACATGGACTCCCTTGGTAGAAAATTACTAACATCGAAGTAAGCCCCAACGAAGAGAAAGCTGCCCACCCAGAGTTGGAGCTTCCCATAGTTTATACATCAGTTCGAGTCATCAGTTTGCTTTGCTTGCTTTTTGTTTCACCATTATGTAGGTAATGGCATTTCCAGTCGATCTGATATTCGCATTCACTGTTGGTATTCCTTGTCACATCCTACTTTTCTGGGCCATCGCTAAAGAAAGGCTATTCTTCAGGTATGCTTTTGTGTAACGTTTGATTTTTGTCCATCAAAACAAAACCAGTTCTATCAGCCCTACTAATTATTTAACTTATGAGTTATTTTGTCGTTTTTAGTCCATTTTTGGTGTTCTATTTGACGAACTTCGCTTTGAATGTGATTTTCACGGTGATCACGGTGATCGCTGCTTCGTTGGATCTTCATCGGCAACTCTTCGGCAACATCAAATACGACCTCGGTTGGACGGCTTTTCAGGTATTTTCGAGTTCCGTTCATGGATGATGCTTCACATAATGCTTGAAAAGTGCTGCTACAGGTTCTTTTGTTTTCACTTTTTCATCTGCATGTCAGCCTAATCGCTATGCTCTCATTAATAAGAACGAGCCGCTTGAATAACAAAAGGGGTCATAAGAAGGGCCACTTTCGGCGCATAGCATTTGCAATTCGGTACTACCCTATCGGATGTTGGTTCCAAGCATAGTCCACCGTCCGTTGTACCATACTCAACAAGGGGGGAGGGGGATTTGTGTATTATTTGGGATTTTCAGAGGGAGAAGGGGTCGTGATCTGGGAGTCAAGTGGGTGTTGGCGATGAGTGGATAGATCGGTGTCGATTTTTGATTATGCAGCGCAGAGGATTGAGGAGAGAGTGGTGGAAGATGAAGGGGTCGTCTCGTAGTGGAGGGACAGGCGAAGAAGTCGCCTTTCCCTCCACTACGAAACGAAAAAGCGAGTTTTGACGGGATTTTCGACTTGGCGGTAACATCAGGAACGAAGTGTGCAATGAGCGTAATTCTTATATGAATAGACATCGTTTTTATAACGGACTCAAATCCGTCTGTCTATCGAACCAGTTCACGGAGAGAAGAAGTGGGTTCGGGATAGAGTAGTGAGTCGGGAATGGTCTCAGAATCAGTACTATCAGAACGGCACATGGGGTGAGAGTTGTCTGATGAGGTGATGTAGCGTGTAAGAGAGGTGGGGCGGCATAGGAATTTTAATGGTAGCTAACGTTTGGTGTAGAATTACTTTTATCAAATTTATTGGAGATTTTCCTGTCTCACTCGTTTGTGAAGGTGTTGCTGGGTAGAGTTGCGTACCCTAGGTATCGAAATACAAAGGTCGCGTAGGTGTCTGAACGTAATAAGGGCGGAGGAGGCGATATCCAACTTCACAAGCTGACTGAACGGGGAAGCGAAACAAGAAGAAATGTTTGTGAGATTCTCTCCGTACCTCGAATTGTACGAAGTTAGTAAACCTAGTAGACGCAATAAAGAACTGAAGACCGAAGAGGACAGGGAAGAAGAGGACGTCCCACAACAGCTACGAGTCGGAGAAATGTGAGGCTCGTCAGAGAAAGAATTCGAAGGAACGCCAGGAGATCGATGCGCCAGATGGCGAAAGACGTTGGAGTAAGCGCGAGGTCAATGAGGAGGATTGTCAGAAGTAAGCTAAGGAAGTTCCCCTATCGCTTGCAGAAATGCCAACTCCTGACGGACATTATGAAGAAAAGGAGATTGGAGAGATGCAAGAAGAACTTATGCTTAGACGGCGATTCCCGCGAGTGGGACGCGACCAGAGACCTATGTATCCGTAATGAAAAGATTTATATACTGTTATACAATCCAGAACATTCAACTACCCAAATTGAGAGGAAATATATAGCCGACACTTGTGATGCTGACGATACCAAAAGAGCAAATCTAACGAAGGAACGAACAAAGGACATAGCACAGACAGAGCGAAAAACACATAGCCAGGGTACGATTGGTTGTGGTTTTGGGGAGGAGTTGAAGCTACTCTTAACGGGTAAGACTGCACTATTTTGTTTAGCAGGTTGAAGCTTGCTGTCAAAAATCAACGGCACGAGGTTTTACACAAAATATCCTGGAAGAAAGTTCCGTGGCCAACTCCATTTGGAGAAGCATACTGGTGGCTCAGCAGGATTCTGCTCAAGCATGCACAAGGAAGTAGAAAGGCACGAACCACAGAGAATGGGTCCAGAAGTGGTGCGCCGAGCACCTGCCCGACTTCATCAGACACGACGAATGGCCCTCCAGTTCTCCTGATCTAAACGATGGATTACTCTGTGTGGTCCATCTTGGAGAGCAAAGCGTGTTCTACCAGACATCCAAACTTGGACTCTCTTAAGGCGGCGCTTTCAAAATCTTGGGACGAAATCGATGACCAGTACCTGCGTGCCACATGCGAAGCATTTGTCGAACGTCTGAAGGACTGTGTGAAGGCTAAAGGAGATCATTTTGAGAAGCATTAACATTTTTTGTATTGTCATGTTTGTAGTAAATAATATTGATAATTAGAATTGATTTGTGAGAATTATTGTCAAAATGCCATTGAAAATTTAGTGCACCAGTAATTTTGCCCCACCCTAGAGTCTTTCTTTAGGAGGGGGAGTGAGGTTGCGAAGTTGCAATGAATCGCATAAAACGGCACGTTTTGCTCCTGTTTAGGGCACCGATCGCAGGTGGCTTAGTGCTAGGCGTCCGCCTATATGGATTCAATCGATATATAGAATTTTACAGGACTTTATCCTTTGAGGTCCCGACACGACCACAGCACTACCCCATCGGAGAAGTCCTTGCCGTACGACTCCACTAACCATAACCTTTCCCATCCTTCTCCCAACGCAGCCTCACACCATGGCTGTTTCGCCTGGTAACTTGATCCAGGATAATCGAAACATTCCTCCGAAAAATCTCACGCATGGCGAAGGTGGGGGTGGACAGCGGGGGGGGGGAGGAGGGGAGGAGGGGAGACACGCGCGTAAATATGTCTTAAGAAATGGCGAATGCCTTAATTTTCCCTCTTTTGCGCTTCACTCCTAAAGGTTTTGCGATACCTTCAAATAGCCGTCAAAAACGACTTCCTCTACCCTTCACTGCAGTACCCTGAGCTTCCATCGCTACGACCCCGTCCGGAAATATTAAAACAATCTCTCTTCCTCACCGTCACCTTACCGTCATTAATATGCAGAAGCCGGGAATACTACCCCTTCCCTCCAACCATCCAAAATCTCCGAAAAGACCCCCCTCGCTGAACTTGCTACAACGGTTGACCCATCCCCGAGGTCTCCGATAAATCTGAAGTCTGGCTCAGTGTATTCTTGTTTCAGGGGAGGATTCCAGGTTAGGGTCGGTAAAGTCGGAGTCGGAGAAGCGGAAATATACCTAGTGGAAAGGCAGACGTGCCATCGCCTGCCTTTCCACTTGATATATCATCCCTTGTTTGACTGAAACAGTGCGCGTTTCACAGTGAAGGGTATGCCCTCAGCGGCTTAGCAGGGTACCAGCCTCGCTCGCGCTTGTGCACGCCCGCTTATAAGTAACTCCTCTGACTCAGTCGTTTAGCAAAGAGAGTGTTAATGCTGAGGAGGGCAGCATAGATGAGAACTACATCAATGCGGAAATAAAGTTCCATTCCCTCAGGTGCTAGGCCGTCGTTTCTTTCTTCATCCCTGCATAACTGACCAGCTGTACCTTCATTTCTGATGGACTGTCCTTTCATTCTGAACTTCGCCTTGGAATAAGAATAAGGCATTTACTGAACGACGCTTTTCAGGTATTTTTCACCGCATCGCAAGGCCTCGCCATCTATGTTGTGATGCGATGTCGCAAATACGTCGCTGCTAAGATTTACTGGAGGCAACGAAATACGGAGGTTTGTCTAGATGTGCCTTCAAATATGTGTATCTCTGTATGGTGGCGGCGCTTCAATTGTGAGAATCACTTTCGGTGTGCCGCGTCAAATGCGCCTATACAATACAATAGCGGCACGGTTGTCTGAGAGGCGGAGCTGTCCCTGTGCAATACAATAGGGGTAGAGCTACCTGAGAGGTGGAGCTGTCGAGGGCGGAGCTTGCAAGATTCCTCAGACCTTCATCATGCAGCTGAACTGTGGATTCCGTTTTTATGCTTTATAGAAATACTAGCCAATGATGTCAGTCAAAAATAACTACAAAAGGCGGGCCAAGTTCACAGAGTGGTCGGCATAAGGATTTAGAGCAAAATCGCCTCAGCCATCCAATTTTTGGAAAAATTCATTATTAATGCTGTCTATCTGAGAGTATGAAGCTAGCGGAGTGGGGGAAGGGGAGGGGAGGAAGACACAGGCCCGCGGATACCCTAATTTCCGGTGTATAAGCCCGCGCCGATTTCACGTAAAACCACCCCCGCTCGCGCAGTGTAACTTTGTACACCTTAGAAACCACCGCAAATTTGCCTATAGAGGTAAGTCGATGCCCTGATCACGAAAATGACTTTCATTTTCAGCGCTGGCGCCATCTGGCGCCAGTTGGCGCCACCTTGTCACGACCCTTGTTTTCGTCAAAATCGGTGTAAACTTCAGTATAGGGGTTATTTGGGACCCTGATTACGAATATGACATTCATTATAGGCGCTGGCGCTGTTTGACGCCTATTTTCTGCTCGTCTGCGCTCTCCAACCGAGACATGTGCACTAAACAACGTTAACGCCAAAAACGAATGTCATATTCGTAATCAGGGTCCCAAATAACCCCTATACTGAAGTTTACACCGATTTTGGCGAAAACAAGGGTCGTGACAAGGTGGCGCCAACTGGCGCCAGATGCCGCCACCGCTAAAAACGAATGTCGTTTTCGTGATCAGCATATCGAATTACCCCTATGGGCATGTTACGGTTGACTCTAGATGTACTCAAGTACACTGCACCAGTGGAGGTGTTTTTACATGATACTAGCGGGGGCTTATACACCGGAAAATAGGGTACTTTGACTTATTTGAATTTCAACTTTTCCTCCTTTCTATAGCCACGAGGTGCGTCCAAAGTAAGAGCCGCCACTGTATGACAGAAACGCTTATCAAATCCTCTACGATGCTGAGTGAAGTGGGGATGAGTCGCATTCAAATTAACTTACACTTCCTTTCAGAATCTGGGGTGATAACTTATGACATGAAGTTATTTTCTACTTCTATAATACACATATTCGCATATTTCATTTTTAGCGCACACCAACGTCGATGATCGCCGATGGGGTTACGATTGAATGATCGCTCATCCTAAAAAAACTTCCCGAGATTCGATTCTGCGTCAACTGCCGCGAAACAGAAGAAAAACAGAAAACAAAGTCTGGATATATAATTATATGTTTCAAACAACGATCTTGATTATCTACTGTTCTAGACTTTCCACAGAGGCCAAGAAAGGATCTCATTAAAAACTTATGAATGCAGATAAAGCAGAAATGCAGTCAAAAATCAAGGAGTTTAACTGTTGAAATACCGACATATATACTGTTCTACAAAAGATTTCGAGTCCATTTTTTCACCCCTTGGAGAGGGACGCTTCAAAAACCTTCAAACTTGCCAACCATCAGCTATTCCTTTCTAAAGGCAATTGACCACGATGGCTCGATGACACTGCGTTTTGATGCGTCAATGAACTCATTGAGTTTAGACTACCACAGCGTGATGCGGAGTGTTGTTGGAGCGCCCTACATCTTTTAACCAATAGCGTTCAATAGCGTCTTTGAAACAGCATCGCCCACTGGCCATCGTTATCACCGCCTTGAAGGAGGAAATCACGATAGAGTAGAAGGTAGAATGAGGAACTCACCAAGTAGAAAGACAGGCGTATCCTCTAAGGGTGCGGACCAACACGCAATACGCCCCAGCAAACGATTGCCCGCAGAAAGCATGACCCTTCTCGCGGCGCTGTTGGCGTAACACGCCCACGCCATTCCCCATGGTTTTTCTTCGTCCCAGCACCACTGACCACCTCCACCTTGATTCTATTATAGTGTACTGCCGAGTAATCTCGCCTTAAAAGTCATGCAAGCTATTCAATAACACGCCTATCGGCAGTGAGCAATAGAAAATAATTAATGCTTATAATAAACAATAGTAGCCAACAAAGCCCTACCCAAGCCATGTTTGACACCTGTGAAAACGTTGGCATATCTGCAAGTAGATCAAGACCAACGGAATGAGAAATTTTACATTAAACTCATCAATGTTGAGACAAACAGACAGTTATATTTTATCCTATTACGAGAGCCACAAAATAAGAACACTTAACAACATTGAAAATTAGGCGTAATAGCAGCAGATATCACCGGGATCGTATTTCCCCAACGAACAGTTCAACCAGTGAGGCGTCAGAAAATTCGATCATTACTATCGCATACTCAACGGCCACAAGGGAAAAACCGAAGATTGGCTACAAAAAAGAAGAATGGGATTGAACCATGCGTGTTGTGGTTCGCAGAAATGGTTGCTGAAAGACAAGAATAATGGCCGTTAGATGAACAGTTGTAATACTTTTTTGGTATAACGTTGTTGTGGAGCGAAATGTCCAGAACCAGGATTTTATAGGGCAGAACTCTGAAAAGGGGGGTAAGGTGTTGAATTGATTACAGATTATGGAAGAGATGCGTGAAAGGTAAATGATGAAGGAAATCAAAAAGCAGAAATTTGAAGAAATTAGGAACTAGAGAAATTAGAGACCTTTCCAAATTGTTTCCTATCGAGTTCTAATATCATCGGTCCTACCCACGTCCAGATAGAATTCCACACCTGCTGAGCCACTTATTTGATACAACGCTTTCAAAAAGTTTGGCACGAGAAACTAATGCGTGGCGTATACCAAGTGAATGATCAACGGTGAGCATTTGTAGGAGCAAAGAAAAACCGAAAGGCTTAGAAATAGTGATATGCACTGACACCCAACACAAGGGAGTGAAACTTCGACGTTCGCCAACCGCCTAGCGAATCGTCTGCGCGGTTTCGGTCATGAAAAATGAGCAACAATTGTGGCATATCACCAAGATAAAGCAACCCTAGAAAACATAGTCGAATACAAGATGCACTGTAACATTCTAGGAACGGATGAAAGAAGGCAACAAAAACTCAACAAGAATCGCATATCACAACAAAAACAACAACTGGACTATAAATGGCTTCTTACTATAACTTAGGTTTCCCAAATGCAGAACCTATCAGGTCCGCAAGCATACGGGCTGTGTACCGCCGCAGTGGATTCGGATCTAAGCAATGAGTTAGCACTTCAAAAGCGACTCGCTCTGCGCCCACCAGTTGGTTCATCGACTCTCGTTCCGAATGCTTACCTGAACGTGGAGTATTGCGCAAATTGCTTCAGAACATGATGAAAAGTATGAATTCCAAAATAGGACTACGACCCACAGAAACAAAATCCAGAGTTATTCTGATAAATAAGTGTCATGCACGATTTACATCCTGGCTTGCAATTCTCCGCATCACGAATATCCTTGCCGAAGTTGCGTGCCTGAACAAAAAAAAACTATGGAGAACAGCTGTCACATGTGTTCCTTCCTAGTTCTACAAACATTTAATAGTCTTAGCACCGTCAGCTTCAGCTATAACATGTTGCTAAATTTACATTTAATTATTTCGAACAATTATAGTCCTGTTCCATGCACAGAGCGTCACAATTGCTCTGAATCCTATTTTATTTAGCTGTGAAGAGGAACGATTCGAGGTAAGGTAAAGAGTGTGTAGAGAAAAGGCAAGTTTAACAGCTGTATACTATATGAAAACCGCATACATATATTGAAGCGCTCGAAGTGTTCGCCAAAATTCTTCCACTAATCTCGTCCTCCCAACCAATTCGCTTCAAATATTGCTATGTTACCTTTTCAAGTCTTTTTCAATGTATGGTTTCTTGAAAATTCGAGGCAAGCAAAAAAACTCTGTCTTGACCTCTTTGACTTTGGACCGCTACTATATAAGAAGGATATTTATTAAAAATTCTACTATTAATACAACAAGAAACATATTTGTGTTAAAGGAAGGAAAAGTGGAAGGAATTCGTACAATCAACTTACAAGCTTGATCATATCCATCCCTGGTAGTGGAGGGTCACAGAGCAGCGTTACTCCGCATTCTGCAGCTGCCTATGAGTGCAACGGATTAAGGAGCAGACGAAAACAATCAAAAAACAAACAATCACCGGTAAAAGTTAATTCACTCAAAGGAAACAGTTTCTCAAGAAACAGCAACATGAACGCCACCTACTGAATTGTTAAGTAACCGTTACAGCAGTACCTTTACTAAAGCAGAGCTGCCAAGAAACGTTGCCATCTGAGCCAAGGCTTCAACGTCATTGGCTGGGCGAAATACTGGATGTCTGAATATACGTGTAAAGAATAGTGAAAGAAGGTAAAGTTTATCCCAGAGTTTACAGTAAAGCAGCACTATTTCAAGAGTGTAAAATTGAGGGGTGACAACCCTCAACCTTACACAAAAAAATGATCCACTTAAACCGGCCAGGAAAAAGTTTCTTGGCCCATATTGACTGATCATTGTAACCAACACAATTAGGAAACTCACTTTTTCAACAGGAAGGAGAGCATTGTCACTCCTGCTGCGAAAATATCTATTTCTGTTGTTTGCTCATCGAACCGCAACAAAATTTCTGGTGCTCGATAACCCGGTGTTCCAGCCTGTGAACTTTTTTGTTAACCATAAGAAAAAGAACGAAGGAAAGCTGCGTAGATGCAGTATAGGAAAAAGGGACGAAAAATGAAGAAAAAAGGAAAGCCACACACCTTATTGACATGCTTAACGGGAAGCTCCTTGCAAATATCACATACATCAGCAAAGGATGTACACCCACACTTTGGATGTTTGATGAATGGTGGACGTGTGGGCATTAAAACGTCGTCACTGAGTCGCTTACAGCGCTTTCTGCAGACACAATATCAAATGACAACATAAAAATGTTTCGGGACTAAGAACTTAAGCATGACGAAGAAGGATACATTCTCAAAGTCTACGCTCAGACGTAAGTGTCAGACTTCGCGACTGCAACCGTGAGGTCTGATACTATCCTACCTAACTGCAGGATCTAAACTCAAGATACGATACTGTAGCTTCACTTTCCTAGGGCATGAGAGACTGGATAATGTTCAAAAATACACTCATGGGAGCTTCGTCTCCATTTCTTGGGGATGGCGAGAGAGATATATGATGAAAAAATTGGGAAGGGCTGTGTCCATGCAACAAAATTCAAAATTACTCAGATACTAAAGAAACGCACCGCGGGTGGCGGCCCAGTCGGACTCGGAATAACAACATTCTCTTTCAATGACGGCGAATTACCCGAAGAATGCTTTCGTGATGAAGTTGAAGTGACGAAATGCGACAAACCAAAGTCAACTAGAAGGTACCTGAACCAGATCCAATCACGAATAGAAACCCCGCCACTCGGAAAATGAATTCTATACACATTTTTGGAAATGAAACAAGATACTTCCAAAGCGCAGCTACTATTGGGTTCGTGACTGTGAAATATCCTTCGAATGTACCATTTGTACGACAAAAATATTCTGCTCTAACAAATTCATCTCAAAACTCCTTCTTTGCTTCGAATCACTGAACACTAAAAATGGCCCTAAAAGTTACCGACCTTCGTTCTGCTCGATTGTACAGAAAGTTGGCTGGTTTGATGTCTCGATGAATCACTCGATAACGATGAATATGATGCAGGGCTATGAAAAGATTGCGCATATATTCAAGGGCTTCTTCGAGTGGAATTTTGTGAATAAGGCTCTGAAACCAGAACAAAACATCACTAACTAATTTCGAATCTTGGAGCAGAACTCAGGTGATTATCTGCATAATAATTTACTGCGTAAACACAAATAAACTTACGAAAATATCATCATGAGGGAAATAATTCATTACTACAAACACTCGATCTAATTCGCGATACGCGGCTATGAACTCGACAACATTTGGCCCGCCTGATATCGTCCGCATAACCTTAAATTATTCGTTTCCTCCATGAAAGGCTCAAGATCAAAAGAAATCAAACAGATGATCAGAAGAAAAAAAAACAAAGTTTTTCGCCTGAAACCTCAATGGAAAACGACGATAACGACTATTCAAATGTACAGACGCAAAAATTCCAATATCACGTCGCGAACATGCGATGATATTAAGATAAGGATTTGGACGTGTTTAAATACACTTTAGTCTAACCACTCTAAGAGTTGAAAACAAACTTGCCTGACCATGGCGTACCACCACCGATAGTCAAAGTTAACAGGCGCAACGGCGGTGACGACGGAATTAAAGTCGCATTCATTTTTATGATACGGAATAAGCCTCCCCTTCTTAAGATTATTGATCAACAATTCTCGACATTTTTCGAGTAGACTGAAACCACAGTTTGCACTTCAGTTGTAGTAAGCTGCCGTCGCGTACAAAAGAGGCGAGATAATCATGAACTATGATCGCTTGACAATGATGCAACAAATCAGAAGGCACGGTAGACACGTACCTTCAGTTCCATAGCAATATGTTTGGGATTAAATCCGGGAGCGGGGACCTTCAATGCAAACAACTGAGCGGGCTTTTTACGGCATTCAACAGTCCACACCTTTCCGAATGAACCTGCATGACAGATTCTAGGGTTAGAGAAAAACAAGAAACAAAAACCAAGTAAAAAAGAAGAGAAAAGATTGACGAATAACAAATAATTCGGCGTACCTGCTCCCAAGGGGTCTCCTACTACAAAATTATTCGTGATCCATTTTGAACGATACACGATGTCAACCCGCTTTTTTCCGTTTGACGGACGTTGTGTTGCTAAGAAACGACGATTTCCAAGCATTGTACTCACACCACTTCAAAGATAATTTCACATGAAATTCCTGAAACGAATAGAAACAGATTTCTAAAACTACAGCAGCACAAGCTAAATCAAATCACTACAAGGCTCACTACACGGCTCCGAAATACCCAAAGAACGAGAAACTGTTACTAATGAGAAGTTGAAAACTTCAAAACATTCACGATGTGAAGCCGTAGCTGGTAACGATTTTGATTGTTATAATACGAAAGAACATGCAACGAAGTTCATGAAAACAGTAGTCACGCACCTCCTAGCCACAGCACCCTCAGAATCCAGAAATACTCGAGACATGAGCAAGCAGAAGTCCCTGGTAAAAAAACCATTTCAAATATGTCTTGCTGTAGCATTCAAGTATTCGTGCAGTGCACACGCATTCTCTAACATGACGCCTAGACAAAATTGCTGGCGGGAATAGAAGATGTGTGTGGTGGGCCGTACTATCGCCCTGCTTTTAGAGGTTTAGAATTTTTCCGATATTTGTCTCTTCGCTGATAAAGCGTGGGTACAAACCATGAGTGTTATCCTACGAATGAGTATTATAATTCGAGGTCTATAATTCAGAATACCGGTTACGAATGACGGGTATAATTTGACCCAAAGAACATGGTTATCATATTCATATGACGAGAAAGGGGCTATTCGGAAAGTGGGGGGGTACATCACGACGCAGTTTCTCGGTGAATTAGTGTGAACTGGAACATTTCAGGGTGCTAACTTAGTTGGGGGGGGGGGCAACGGATCGGAAGTATACCCCGGATGCTCGCCTCTTTGAAACATTTCCCCGAGCGCGCTGGCATCTTCAAAGACCACTAGCAGTGGAGGCGAGCTTTCATGTGGGGGGGGGAAAAGGGGGAAGAAAGGAGATTAAGAGGTTGGAGACACCGCAGTTTCGGCTCTTTTTGTCAGATTTTGAGTTTGTTCTTCGTACTGGTACCAACGCAGGCAAGAGTAGAGATATTGCTCTCAGGTGAGAAAGGAATGATAACTAGGATGTGGTCGTACGCACAAGAGTGCTGGTAGGAAGCGTCTTTAGATAGTAACGAAAGGTATGGGAGTTTAGACACCACCACAACTGTACCTCTTTTTGAACCCACAAAAATCAATCATCGTTTTTCCTCTCTATTGTAGCACTGACTTAGTGTTTTGCGAGACCTTTTTTGAGAAATTATCCAATACTAGTGTGTTGACGCTATTCCTCGTTGAATACACACTGGAGGCATTCAAGGCTACTTACCGGGGAGTTTCTCGCTACGACTGCGGATTTTTGGGTACTTCCTTCCAGTTAATCGTGTGAGCAAAGCCCATTACCCTTCAAAACATCTACAGCGGTGGTTATTAAGGGTGTTCCAGTCAGCGACCTCAGCAAAGGTAATGGCATCGATTTGACACGAACACAAGCGAGGAAATAAGAACAGTTTTGGTGAACTTTCCAATGTATTTTTTGGACGCAAACTGCATTAGAGGAAATAAAGGGATGCTACTTACCAGAGCATCAGCCAGAGGATACTAGTGAGTGCCTATTGGTAACAATCAGAAGCTTGCCGTGAAAATTTCACCGAAGTATCCGCCATTATTCATGGATTTCGGTTAGGTGCTCTCAATATGTATGGTGAGTGCGCAAATCCTTTTGAATACAGTGACTTAGTTGTAAAAAGTTCAGCCACCCTTGAAGGCAGACCAATCCCAGCAGTCTCCCTAAAATATAAAATGTGTAATAGTCATCCTCAATGGGGCTCATCCGGTGGAAATGGCAGCACGCGACAATCTACGTCAAATTATGGAACGCTCAGTTTTAGGACTGAGCCCTAGAGGAGAAGAGGGGCTCTGAAGTGCGTAAGCATGTTTTCTTTAAAGATTTCGTCTTCCTCTGTAGCTTCAGTCCCAGAAGCTTCCTGCACTTCACCCCCCTCCCTTTGCTTCCTTTGCAGTTACAAGTAGAAGATTACCGAACAATTACATAGTGACTCTAACACCAGTATAGCTGGGAGAAGGCTCGCCCCAGTGCGACACTTGTTTAAACGAGCGCGCGCGGGAACATTTTTCAAAGAGGCGAGCATCTCGGTGTATACCTCCGATCGGGGCCACGCGGCGGCGCGGCAGTCTGCTCACCTGGGCTCTCTCGAGCGAGACAGTGTAAACTCGAACATTCCAGCTTTTCACGCATGTCAAGTGACTGCCCCCACCCCCCACCCCCCTAGACTGCCTACACTCCCCCTGGCCCACGGATTTCCGAACATGCCAGGCGAGCAGACTGCCGCGCCGCCGCGTGCCCCCCCCCCAACTAAGTTAGCACCCTTCCTAGCTTCTCACGCATGTCAAGTGGCTGCCCTAACTCCCCACCAGGGTGAATAAACGGTCGAGGAAATCCTGGACAGGGGGTCGTATTTGCTACGATGAGAAGTTGGGGGAGGGGGCAGGGTCACCGTTCGAACATTTTCGGGATTTTTGCGACCCCCTAGCTCTCGAGGGGGTCCAGTTGCGACCCCCTGTTTTTGTTAATAAGAGTGCTAGACATGAATCCGTTGCGCCAGAAAGCGTCTGCGCGTCGTCGCGTCGGCCTTGGAGCGCGGCAGGTATCACCCGGGCGCTGGAAGAACGGGACGCGGCGAAGAAAAAATTTTTAGAGGGGAATAACTTTCTTGGGACGTATTTTTTGACTTGTTGAGGTAGATTTTGATTGTGCCTGAGGTGCGCTTCCAGAAAACTACAAGGATTGCCTAACTCTCCGGAAAGTACTTCTGTTAGAAGTGGAAAACCCAAAATTCTAAGAAGGCGCACCTTCAACTTTGAAGGCCCATAAAATCTTTCGTATGCGACATTTTGGAAATCTGTAAAAAGTTTCAGAAACTTCAAATATTTCTCTAACAAAACAGTATAAAAATTTAGTGATTGTCCCCTTTTTCAAAAAATTGTCCCGTTCGAACATTTTTCGTGCAAAAGCGAGTTTTTGGGCTTTCAGCGACCATAACTCACTTCATTTTCATTTCTGTGATGCACTTTTTTCATGGGGTGAAAGTACAGGATTTGCTCTTTCTAAAAGCCAAACCGTTTTTCAAAGTTCATTTTTCGAGAAAATCACACGTTCGAACATTTTGTTCCCATAGGTTTTTGAGCAGCACATGCGAGTTTTTGAGCTTTCAGCAATAATAACTTCCTTCAAAGAACTTGTTGGGGAGGGGCGAAGACATTTTTGAAGACTACGAGATTTCTGCTTTCTTATGTGTTTTACCGTTGTCTGGAAGAATCGTCCTCAGAAAATTAGGTCCCGAAGAACTTTAATTTCAGCCCCGAGAAGTCAAACCTTTCATAGGGATGCATTCAACTGTTCTTTATTCCTCAAGGAAAACACCGTAATTTGCCTAAAACTGTCTCTCTGTGCATAATAATCGAATCTAATGCGGTCTGCACAAACAATTCTTGCCCTCGGATACGCCACGCACGCGCCTGTGGCTGGCAGTCCTCGAAATTGCGACCCCCTTCCGACCAAAATGCGACCCCTTCGTTCGAACAGTTCGAACGGACGGTTGACCCTGGGAGGGGGTCGTAAGCAAAAGGTTCATCAACGGACACAACGGTGCTGCTGCCACTCATTCGCTGACAAGTGTTTTAGTTAGCGTAATGCAAATGACATCTTACATCTATCTAGACTTAAAATTAAAATGGAACGTGCCACTGATCTGGTTCGTAGTGATTAGTACGAAGATACAGGGAGGAAGCGCGTCTCGCAGAAGAATCGTAGGAAATTGGCAGCGAATATTTACTCTAAGTTAATGTACTCATTTACCAATTTAGTAGATGAATAGTATATTAGTAGAAAGTTCGAAACGGGGAAATTCGCAGTCTTCTTGGCATAGTCACATGCCGTAGCCGCAAATGCGTCATTTATCGGAACAGGGTGGGAAAGGGAGGGTTTATTAAGGAATGATCATAGTGTACTATGGCCATAAGAGTTCTTTTGTTCAAGAGACTGGGAACACCTTCTGGCCTGAACAAGTAACTTCCGTGCAGAAAAACACCTTTCAAACGACTACGAGTGGGGTCCGCTGCATGGCGCCAGAACGGAATGAATCTGCGCCAAGTGTATCATTTCCTATTTACTTCATTGAGATGACGTGCCCATACAGCATTTTGAGGGTGTTAAAGAAGTTCCTTGCTACGGCTAAGAAGATATCGAGTTTTTGAGTGGGTCCGAAAATTTCCTCGACGCAAATTTCTCGCGAAGTAGCGAATGTTGGAACAATTGCAGAACCCCTCTAGCGCAAATCTTCTAGTTCACAATGCTTTCCTCCGATTTTCAAAGCATTGCCAATGAAGACAGCTACTGTCTTCCAAAGAGTGGGAACTCGCATGTAAATTTCAATTTCCTCGACAATTCCTCGACGTCTCCCACTCTCGAGAATAGGTGTGCTTAAAAAAGCTCAGCACAATTTAGAAACTAGAAGTCTTGTGCATTCAAAAGCTGCCTTCACTTTCTGAAATGGTTATCAATGAAGAAAGTTATAGTCCTTTAAATAGGGGGTACATTTGACGATTTTTCCAACTAGCGCGCTCTAGGCACAGCGCGCGACGCGATCGCGGGTAGTTAGCGCCGCTATACTGGAGCGCGAGACTGTTAAACTGCCTGTAGGCAGCACCCTCTTCCTTTTTCTACTCCCGTTCTTCTCTAGTAGAAGTCTACTCTGTTCTATTTTTGTTTCTCGTCTATCACAGGTTAGTCCGTTTTCAGGTCCAGTTTTTCGAGGAGCACTAGCCTGCGCAAGGTTAGGTTCAGGATTTGAACAGCGGAGCATACGCATGGCAGCGAGGCTGCCCCCTCTTGTACATCTGAAAATAAGATTTTTTATTACTACATCTATTGAGTTTGATCAATCCCTTTGCAGGGAGTACTGAAGCTCTAGACTCGATGAACTCGAAGAATTCTTCTCACCGTCATGTTAGATTTCGTAGCTTTTTCTTTAACGCACTGCGTACCGCGTGCGCCACCATGTGGCGGAACATCGTGCGCCACCACATGGTGGCACACGATGTTTTTGTCCACAATAGTTGTCTTTTCTTATTCCATGATTTTGCAGTGGGACGTCTCCAGATAATTAGGTAATATTTGTGTGGTATTCACAAAAGAGCCTAGTTTGCTAATTGAATTTGCTTGAATAAAACATATTCTTTCGAAGCAAGTTTAGCAGTCACCGCAATCTAGTCGTAATACAACTGCGTCGCAAGAATGTGTTTCAACCAAAATCTTCAAGTAAAGAAAAGTGGTACACAGCAAAACATTAGCGTTAAGGCTTTCG